TCCAGTCTGACCAATGTACATGGCAGAGGGGCATTGCTGGCACATGATGGCATATATCACATTGGTGGATGTGCAGGTGAACGAGCCTCTGATAGCGTGGCTGATGTTATTAGGCCCTTTGATGGTGTCCCCCGAATAGATATGTGGGCACAGTTGGCAACGGGCTTTGTTGCAAGGATAGGTTCCTGGGTTAGTGGTTCTGTTGTGAGGTATGTGGTTGTTGGTGAGTATTTGCTTCAGGTTGGGGGGCTGTCTGTAGGCAAGGACTGGCCTGTCTCCCAAGATTTGTGAGAGTGTTGGGTCATCCTTCAGGATAGGTTGTAGATCCTTAATAATGCGTTGGAGGGGTTGTAGTTGGGGGCTGAAGGTGACGGCTAGTGGTGTTCTGTTATTTTCTTTGTTAGGCCTGTCCTGTAGTAGGTGACTTCTGGGAACTCTTCTGGCTCTATCAATCTGTTTCTTCACTTCCGCAGGTGGGTATTGTAGTTGTCAGAATGCTTGATAGAGATCTTGTAGGTGTTTGTCTCTGTCTGAGGGGTTGGAGCAAATGCGGTTGTATCAGAGAGCTTGGCTGTAGACGATGGATCGTGTGGTGTGGTCAGAGTGAAAGCTGGAGGCATGTAGGTAGGAATAGCGGTCAGTAGGTTTCCGGTATAGGGTGGTGTTTATGTGACCATTGTTTATTAGCACTGTAGTGTCCAGGAAGTGGATCTCTTGTGTGGACTGGACCAGGCTGAGGTTGATGGTGGGATGGAAATTGTTGAAATCACGGTGGAATTCCTCAAGGGCTTCTTTTCCATGGGTCCAGATGATGAAGATGTCATCAATATAGCGCAAGTAGAGTAGGGGCGTTAGGGGACGAGAGCTGAGGAAGCGTTGTTCTAAGTCAGCCATAAAAATGTTGGCATACTGTGGGGCCATGCGGGTACCCATAGCAGTGCCGCTGATCTGAAGGTATACATTGTCCCCAAATGTAAAATAGTTATGGGTAAGGACAAAGTCACAAAGTTCAGCCACCAGCCGTGACATTATCGGGGATAGTGTTCTTGACGGCTTGTAGTCCATCTTTGTGTGGAATGTTGGTGTAGAGGGCTTCTACATCCATAGTGGCCAAGATGGTGTTATCAGGAAGATCACCGATGGATTGTAGTTTCCTCAGGAAGTCAGTGGTCTCTCGAAGGTAGCTGGGAGTACTGGTAGTGTAGGGCCTGAGGAGGGAGTCTACATAGCCAGACAATCCTGCTGTCAGGGCGCCCAGGATTTCCCTGAGAATGCCTGAGATGATGCCTGAGATGATGGGGCGCCCAGGATTTCCAGGTTTATGGATTTTGGGTAGTAGATAGAATATCCCAAGTCGGGGTTCCAGGGGTGTGTCTGTGCGGATTTGATCTTGTGCTTTTTCAGGAAGTTTCTTGAGCAAATGCTGTAGTTGCTTTTGGTAACTCTCAGTGGGATCATAGGGTAATGGCTTGTAGAAAGTGGTGTTGGAGAGCTGCCGAGCAGCCTCTTGTTCATATTCCGACCTATTCATGATGACAACAGCACCTCCTTTGTCAGCCTTTTTGATTGTGATGTCAGAGTTGTTTCTGAGGCTGTGGATGGCATTGTGTTCTGCACGGCTGAGGTTATAGAATCATAGAATCATAGAATATCAGGGTTGGAAGGGACCCCAGAAGGTCATCTAGTCCAACCCCCTACTCGAAGCAGGACCAATTCCCAGTTAAATCATCCCAGCCAGGGCTTTGTCAAGCCTGACCTTAAAAACCTCTAAGGAAGGAGATTCTACCACCTCCCTAGGTAATGCATTCCAGTGTTTCACCACCCTCTTAGTGAAAAAGTTTTTCCTAATATCCAATCTAAACCTCCCCCACTGCAACTTGAGAAAAACTTATGGGGCAAGTGATGCTGCTTTTCCACAATTTCAGCCCGTGCACGTCGGTGGAAGCAGTCTATGTAGAAGTCCAGTCTGCTGTTTCGACCTTCAGGAGGAGTCCACCTAGAATCCTTCTTTTTGTAATGTTGGTAGGGAGGAGTCTGTGGATTAGTATGTTGTTCAGAGGTATTTTGGAAATATTCCTTGAGTCGGAGACGTCGAAAATAGGATTCTAGGTCACCACAGAACTGTATCATGTTTGTGGGGGTGGAGGGGCAGAAGGAGAGGCCCCGAGATAAGACAGCTGCTTCTGCTGGTCTGAGAGTATAGTTGGATAGGTTAACAATATTGCTGGGTGGGTTGAGGGAACCATTGCTGTGGCCCCTTGTAGCATGTAGTAGTTTAGAAAGTTTAGTGTCCTTTTTCTTTTGTAGAGAAGCAAAGTGTGCGTTGTAAATGGCTATCAAGCATTCTTACAACTACAATACTCACCTGCGGAAGTGAAGAAACAGATTGATAGAGCCAGAAGAGTTCCCAGAAGTCACCTACTACAGGACAGGCCTAACAAAGAAAATAACAGAACACCACTAGCCGTCACCTTCAGCCCCCAACTACAACCCCTCCAACGCATTATTAAGGATCTACAACCTATCCTGAAGGATGACCCAACACTCTCACAAATCTTGGGAGACAGGCCAGTCCTTGCCTACAGACAGCCCCCCAACCTGAAGCAAATACTCACCAACAACCACATACCTCACAACAGAACCACTAACCCAGGAACCTATCCTTGCAACAAAGCCCGTTGCCAACTGTGCCCACATATCTATTCGGGGGACACCATCAAAGGGCCTAATAACATCAGCCACACTATCAGAGGCTCGTTCACCTGCACATCCACCAATGTGATATATGCCATCATGTGCCAGCAATGCCCCTCTGCCATGTACATTGGTCAGACTGGACAATCTCTACGTAAAAGAATAAATGGACACAAATCAGATGTCAAGAATTATAACATTCACAAACCAGTCGGAGAACACTTCAATCTCTCTGGTCACGCAATCACAGACATGAAGGTTGCTATCTTACAACAAAAAAACTTCAGATCCAGACTCCAGCGAGCAACTGCTGAATTGGAATTCATTTGCAAATTGGATACTATTAATTTAGGCTTAAATAGAGACTGGGAGTGGCTAAGTCATTATGCAAGGTAGCCTATTTCCCCTTGTTTTTTTCTACCCCCCCCGACGTTCTGGTTAAACTTGGATTTATGCTGGAAATGGCCCACCTTGATTATCATGCACATTGTAAGGAGAGTGGTCAGTTTGGATGAGCTATTGCCAGCAGGAGAGTCAGTTTGTGTGTGTGGAAAAGGGGGTGGGGGGGTGAGAAAACCTGGATTTGTGCTGGAAATGGCCCACCTTGATTATCAAGTGAGTTTGTGTGTGTATGGGGGTGGGGGGGTGAGAAAACCCGTATTTGTGCTGGAAATGGCCCACCTTGATTATCATGCACACTGTAGGGAGAGTGGTCGCTTTGCATGAGCTATTACCAGCAGGAGAGTGAGTTTGTGTGTGTGGTTTTTGGAGGGGGCTGAGGGGGTGAGAAAACTTGGATTTGTGCTGGAAATGGCCCACCTTGATTATCATACACATTTTAAAGAGAGTGGTCACTTTGGATGGGCTATTACCAGCAGGAGAGTGAGTTTGTGTGTGTGGGGGCGGAGGGTGAGAAAACCTGGATTTGTGCTGGAAATGGCCCAACTTGATGAACACTTTAGATAAGCTATTACCAGCAGGAGAGTGGGGTGGGAGGAGGTATTGTTTCATGGTCTCTGTGCATATAATGTCTTCTGCAGTTTCCACAGTATGCATCCGATGAAGTGAGCTGTAGCTCACGAAAGCTCATGCTCAAATAAATTGGTTAGTCTCTAAGGTGCCACAAGTACTCCTTTTCTTTTTGCGAACACTAACTTACTGATTCTCACAGCACCCCTGGTGAGGCAGGTAAGACAGCAAATGGTCTGACAGCATAATAGCAGTTCAGGGATATTTAAAAGTGCCTGTAATGGACTCTTGAGTCTTGTGGACAAAATCAAATGTTAAACTATAATAGCTTCTTTGAATCCTTGGATTCCGATGTCTGTAGGACAGGACACTGGGACTATAAAATTGTGACGGTGGACTATTTATTCTCCAAAACAGTCAGTCCAGATAGACACCTGAAGATCCTCTACCCTTAGCCCAGGACAATATTTGCCACACCCATCTCCATCAATTATTTTTCTCTTCCTGGCAACTTCATCATCTAACATTTACATTGCTAACATCCATTGGTATTAATAAAAATACATCTTTTAAATAACTCTCTTTCGGTTCCACAAAATTGGCCATGCACTCACCCAAGACATCTCAGAATCCATCATTTCCAGATGTCACAGCTCCCAGAAATATCTGCTGCATCATGAAACTTTCATCAGTGTGCACAGCCATACAAAGTAGCCACATGATGAAGGTGTGAATTCTTCCTTCTTCCACCCTCAGCCCTTCTCTTTGTTGCTTTTCTTTTTGTTATGTCTGACCTATTTTAGACTATGCAGTGTGGGGACTGTGTTCTTTATCTCTCTGCAAATTGCCTAGCACAATTTTAGGTGCGGTATACAAAATATATAACTCCACATTATGGAACTGGCCCACAAGGGCTCGGAGGCAAGTCCCATTTAACCCATAAATGGCATGTTTTTAAAACTTTCTTTTTAAAATGTAATTATTTCATACTCTAGGAAGCTTTAAATAAATGAATGACACGCAAATGACTCTTATTACAGGGCAAGGGGAAGGGAAGAAAAAGAAAGAAAAAAGGGAGTAAGGAGTTGAAATGTGCAGAAACTCATTGAGACTATTTATATACATTCTATTATTATTATAATAATAACTTGATGGTGCTACTTTCTGTTATTTCAGTAACCATATTTTGGGCTAATAAACATCTCATCCTTAAGGTCTGGAGCTTATTTAACTCGGGACACAATTATAACTGAGTTAGCGGGATGCTTTCTCAAGTTATCATTTAGTTATTGCATAGGATTTAAAATATCATGCTTAAGCTAATTTGTTAACCTTACCTGTGGATTAAAGAATCCTGTCATCCAGAATTGATTTGGTCGGCCATCCAGCAGCCAGCTGCTAAATTGTTGGTTTCTTTCAAGAAGCTCAGTAAACCAAAACCCTAAAGTAGCAGATTCCCAGGAAATCTTGAACCAAAGCTTGGGAATTCTGGCATCATACATGTTATCCAAAGCATCTCGCAAGTCTTCTGACATAATAATGGTTCCTGAATTGTAAGTAAAACATAGAATCATAGAATATCAGGGTTGGAAGGGACCTCAGGAGGTCATCTAGTCCAACCCCCTGCTCAAAGCAGGACCAATCCCCAATTTTTGCCCCAGATCCCTAAATGGCCCCCTCAAGGATTGAACTCACAACCCTGGGTTTAGCAGGCCAAAGCTCAAACCACTGAGCTATCCCTCCCCCCCACATGTACAGAATGAACTTCTCCCCAGCTTCCAAAGGCAATTAAAACTTCTAAACAATGTTCTAAATCCAAATGGATCTCTCTTGTTGAGCCTTAATTATACAACTGTTCAAATGAAGTCAAATTGCAACAAACATATAAGTCTCAGCCCACAGCTAATAATGAATAAAGGACATTTCTTATAATATTATGTGAAGAAATAAAGAGATTTTTTTCAAACAACTTTTTTTTCCAATTTATATTCATTGTATTGACACTGTGCTTGTAAATGTGATGAATTGTTTCAATATAAGTATATTTTAATGTCTCCCTTCACACTATCAGAGAGAGATGTATGCTGTCTATGCCATCTATATCCTAATCATGTATTGACAGAGAATATATTCATTGCAATTATTTTGTTACAGATGATGAGTCCACACATTTTCATTACTAAGAGCTCCCAACAGTGAAATAGTAAAGTAATGGCAGAGATACAGGCAAATATTTTCTTTTTGGCAGTGGTAGTCCACACACACATGCTACATACAGTACAGTGGTTTCCATTAAAAAAGGTTGGCATTTACTGCTTGTAAAATAATTAACCTCACTATGACATCCACAGTATTCTGTAAAGCAGAGGTTCTCAGCCTCTGCTCTGTGGAGCACTTGCTGGTGGTCCACAGCGAGCTGGCTGTCCTCCATATTTTGAGCTCCTAAATTGTATTAAAAGACACCTATAATAAATTAAATAGAGCAACGAGCTCAATGTATCCCAGTTCCAGTTAGAACCGCTAGGTAGTACCACAATACAAATAACAATTATATTTCAATATAACCAACTGCTGTAGTTGCCACGGGGATTGAATGTTATTGCAGATAGAATGAGGGGGCTCACGGAATTGTACAGGGGGGAGAAAGGGAGGTGATCTGTGTGACTACGAATGGGAAGGTGTGTGATCCAGCAGACTACCTCTGTGTTCTGGTGTGGTCCACACTATGGAAACCTCTTTCCTACACTATTCTCTGGTTCACTGAGATAAAATTTTACAAACCTGGGGTGAGAGAAAGGAGTGGTGTGTCAAGAAACCAAAGTTCAGTCCATAGTTTAGGTGAACTCCTGATTCCTTGCTGACACAGCTCTCACATAGGAGCATCCATGAATACACTACGTTTATGTCACGGAGGTCAAGGAAGTCACGGAATCCGTGACTTCTGGAGACATCTGTGACATTCTCTGCTTCAGCCTCAGGAGCTGTAGGATTCTGGAGCTGGCAGCCAGCAGGGTCCTGGCAGGATTCCAGTGACAGCAGCAACAGGGGCCCCCTGCAAGGTTCCAGCAACAGGTGATCAGACTCCTGAGGGGGTCTAGGGGGAGGGGGACACGTTGGGCTGGGAGTGTCCCATTTTCTCTTTGGGAAATATGGTCACCCTGCAGTTTCCAGCTGTCCTGGGCAGAGGGGGAACCCCACAGCTCCCAGCCACCACGGTGGTGGGGGAAAATCATGGGCTGCAGCAGCAAAAGTCACAGACGGGTCACGGCTTCCATGAATTTTTATTTATTGCCCGTGACCTGTCCGTGACTTTTACTAAAAATAACCATGACAAAACCTTAGCCTTATCCATGAGTAGTGCTTTTTACATTCTCCCGTTGGTTATAAGACTCCATCCCTTCCTGGCAAACAATGACCTGGCTCAGTTATACCTGCCTTTGTCACCTCCTGTCTGTGCAATATTCCTAGGCAAGAAGCTGTTAGCTTTTAGGAAACTCCAACTAGTACAGAATGCTACAGTGCATCTCTTCAGCAACACTGGTTTTCCATAGATCATCGAGTCAAGTTCAAGATCTTGGTCCTTACCTAGAAGATGCTCAATGGCAAGGTCCAGAATATCTAAAAGATCATCTAAAGCTCTGGGATGAAGAGCATTGTTGACAACTTCACTCCACAGCTACACTACGCTAAGAGGAAAGCTTGTCTTTGCAGGAGACGGGCAAGTCCGAGACTGTGGAAAGAAGTCCTCCAGGAACCACCCCAAGAATAACACAAACCTCACCACCTTCTGCTCCACATTCAAGGGGCATTTCTTCAACCTGACCTTCTCTAACATAAACACAGCAGAATTTACATTACAAAAACACACCAAAACGCTCCTCTGCACACACAATTCTCTCCCTCTAGGGTGAGGATGAGATGGAGAAAGAACCACACGTGACAGATGTTAATCATGTCACATAATACACTATTAGAAGGCACTCAGACAATACATTGATGAGGGCGGAAAACAGAATAGAAAAGTATAAGGGACCCTAAGGGACCCTCTGCCAGCGAAGGATAGCTAGAGTTCATTGCTCTCTGGCCACTCCTCCTCCCCATACTGACACAACCAACAACCAGGATCTGTGAGAGGGCTACTCCTGAGGGAATTCTGCGCCCAAAAATAAAAAAAAAAGTAAAGTTACAAATACTTGGTAACCAAGACCCTGCATTCCAGGTATAATCCTGGATTTTCATTTAAATTACATTACTTTTATTTTGGTGTTTGGGTGTTCTGTAAAGTAGACTGTCGCTTTAAATTGCTCAGACATTCACACGTGAAAGTCAGACAGTTTTACTAATCATTGTCCTGCATTTTTTTTTAAATGGATAAGTAAAATAGATCCCGAGCTGTCATCTAACCCCATTGTGCCTCTCTGGCACAGGAAAAAAAGCGAGACAGCACATAGACTTTCCTAGCTGAGGATTGCTTTACTGTCATTTACAGTAAGGCTCCTTTACACCATTCTGGCAAGGTAAAATTGACCATAATTGACTAAGAATGGGAACGCCTAACTAACAATGGGAACATTAGCAGCCTGCCTGCTTAGCTGTTACATTCCTGCTCTGCCTCAGGGACAGCGCCTGCTTCACGCAGCCCTACGCGGAGAGGGACAGAGTGAGGGCTAGTCGACACTGGCAGCGTTAAAGCACTGCTGCGGCAGCACCTGAACGTGCCTCGAGTGGTCGCAGTGCTGCGCTGGGAGCTCTCCTAGCGCTCTAAAAAAACCCACCTCCACGAGGGGCGCAGCTCCCAGCGCTGGTGCACTGTCCACACCAGCAATTTACAGCGCTGAAACTTGCTGCGCTCAGGGGGGCGTTTTTTCACACCCCCTGAGCGAGAAAGTTGCAGCGCTGTAAATTGCCAGTGTAGACAAGGCCTGAGTCTCTCTCACTCGATCACACACAGGCATGCGCCCTGCCCCACTCCCTTAACATCTCTCCCCAGACTCATGCATGCACACCCAGCCTCCTTCCTCCCCCAGCAGTGATCTGCTCTCTGCTGCCAGCTGCTCCCAGCAGACACACCCAGACTGCCGCAGAAGGGGCATGTTCCTCACAGATTTCTTTGCTCCCCTATTTTTCTGCGGAGAAGCCAAGAAATTTGCGGAAGGTATGAATTCTGCACCCCCGCCCCCAAGGGCGTGGAAGTCCCCTAGGAGCAGAGGGCAGTATAGGAGCCAGCTATGCCATCTCTACACCCATTAGGCACTTCCCTATGCTGCAGCCTCCTAGTTGGTGTTTGTGTGTGTGTGTGGGGGGGGAACAGACAAACACAACCAGACTCTGCTCCCTGTGCACCATCTGAGAGACACCAAGGGAGCAGCGTGGACCAGGGAGTCTCCCACTACAACTGGAAACACTGTCCCACATGTCCCTCTGTGATGACTCATGATTGTCGCTGGAAATAATAAACCAGACTTTTGATACAAACATGAAGCAAACTTAACAAAAGAGCTGTAGAGGCTGAGAAGACGTGCTCAGTGCCCTGGCCTTGGCTACATCTCTGCATTACTATGCTGAGTGAGTGGGTGTGAGCTTTGGCAGCAGGGATATGGTACTTGAGTTGCAGCACCAGGACAGACTGAATGCCATCTGTGGGCGTTGCTATGCATTCCTGCAGCTCAGATGCTTTGATAAAAATAAAACAGTGGAGAGAAATTAGATTAATTACCAAATGAGAGGGATAGATACATCTGTTCCAGAAAACAGAAACTCTCAAATAACAAGGACTGGAAAACAGACACAGGGAATGTTGAGTGAATAATGCAAAACCATATATTTCTACTATCTAACTAATAGAAAACAGGAGGCAGCCCGCTGTAAAGGGGCTGACTGAACATTTTATGAACTTAACGTGACTGGCTGTAATGTTCTATGAACTTCACTTGCCTGCTGTTTATAACAGTTATTTTTGGATTTTATGTGGTCGGGTCCCCTTTCATGGGTACAATGAAGCCCTTATTAAGATGACAGATTAAAGGTCAGATCATTTAAAGGCTCTGAAGGGGCTTTTTGATATTTCTAAAATAATTTGTACTGTAACCATACTGCACGTAGATTAGAGCTTTTAAAACAGGTTTCTACCCTGAGTTGCCCTGTCTCTGGCTATGCCTGCACTATGAAGTACGGGTGTGATTTCCCTGCTGGCATATACTTACTTGTGCTAGCTCTTATTGAGCAAGGGCAAGTAGAAATCGCTGGGTAGTGGTGGTCACCTTGGCAATGGCAGCAGAGGCACAGCTGAGCTATGCCAAAAACCTATACACACAGCACTCCAGCTCGTAGTGTAGATGTAGCCTCTTTTGGCCCGTCTAAATACTTCCAACTACTGTGCAGAGAAAGAGGCAAGGTAAAGCTCCTGTAGGTGTTCAATTCAATACTGGACAAGACGAGTTTTTGTGGCTAATTAAAGTAATTATGTCAAGGGGCTGCACAGCTACATTCTAGCACATTTGTCCTAGTCTGTGATTCTATATTTAGTGATTCACCATGTAACAGAATGAAAGCTTTGTTCGATTTATATTATCTGAGGGCTTGGCAGAGCTCGATTTTCCCCCCATAATTTTGATGGATAATGTATGTTTATTTTTTCCTATTTTTATCAATTTAAATCTTTACAGTTGCATGAAATTATGGGGTTTAAGCATTTCTTTAGTTTTTATTGATTTAAATTCTCACAATTATGGGAAATTATGGGACAGTCAGCCAATAATTATTTAATGATGGTAGACAATGAGATTCAAAAAGTTAAAGCTTTATAACTGTTAGAATACCAATTGTCAATATCACATGTCAAAATTTATAAAATAAATGTCCTTAAATCAAACGCTAATAAGTTAAGCAGCATTTTTCTTACTTTGCCTAGCTGTAAATTTTGGTTATTATAGATGGAAGTAGTTTTTAATTGATTTGTGAGTGTCCAGTGAAACTGATGTTCATTTACCGATAACAATTTAATCCTTCCAAGCCTAATTATGTGTATATAGTAGCTCCTCGTTAATACTTGGGCTCACACCTATCTCTGTAATGAGCTGGATCTGAACATCCTGAAATATGGGAAGGTTCGGATTTGGACCACAGTTTTGAACCTCTTCATTTGGAAGAATTTGCCTCCAGCTAGAGAGGTGAAGATCCAGATGTGCAGCTCGAACTAGCAGTTGGGATCTTAAGCTTTGGTTTCAGCAAGAACTCAAGTTTCCAAGCCTCATTCTCTTTTCATGTGCATAGGTGTAAATCAGAAATAACTCAACTGAAACGAGAGAGTTACACAAGGATAAAACCCATGTGAATTAAAGGAGAATCAAGCCTCTAGTTCCTGTATTCTGATATTGCTCATAAACAGTTGTCATGGTTACAGGGCAAGCTGTGCTTTACAGACCTTTTAGTCTATCTGATGTGCACCCCTCAAGAGGCAGTTTTTGCTACCTTCCATCTGGGTGGAACCACACATTCCTACCACTCTTAGACTGTGTTTCTGGGCTGCAGCCCCTCTGTTTACCAACTATATTAACCCAACAGGCCCAAATGAGTTCTGCTCCTGTAAGACCTTTGCTCTGGGGGCCTGTGACAGTGGCTGATTAGAGTGACTCACAAACAGCTGCTTCAAAACAAAGCTTTATTTATTCATTCACCCAAAGGTACATAGGATGCAGAGCAAAGGGTAAAAACAATAAAGGCCTATACTCATATTTACCTTTACCTAACTTTTAATCTTTCCTTGCAAGCTTTGGTAAATTCTATTCAGCCCACTTACCTCCATTTCTAGGCTGGAAGAAGCAGACTGACCTGCTGCAGCATGCTCTGTGTGTCTTCTTGCATCCCTCTCAGTGTTCACTCACACTCCCTGGGTGGCTCCTGGCAACATACCCAACTCTCTTCCTTTTCTAGGCCTGAGGTCCTTTAATGGTTTAGCACCCACTTTGATCCTGAGCTTGTGCATAGGAAGAGTAAACCTTACCAGCCTGGTTGGTGCCAGACAAGGGCACTCCCCAGTTCATAGCTTCCCCCTTAGTTCCCTCAAGGACTGTTGATATTCTCGCGGACTGTACCTTTTCTTTGCCATTGTTTTGTTTCCTGTTTGTTTCCCCCCTGATAGCCTCCTTTGATTTAAGACCTTGCAGTCAGGCAGGCTACCACCAATCAGGTAAACCGACGTGCATATATTTGTAAAAAAATAGCACACTTAACTCTCTCATTCTCCACAATAGCTATTTACTCTATTCAGTAACACTGCTGACATATTTTAAAAACAAGCGCACACAATTTATCCTGGCAAATTGTCTTGAAAATTTACCAGCACAGGCACCAAATCTACATGTCCACGCATTATCATGATGGTAGATGATACAAAAAAATTAATATTTTATGGGTGCGCACATGCACACACCTACACAGAGCCTTGCCCCACACCAGCTCAGTAGAACATTGCAAAACTGTTCTGCAGCATCTTTTAAAGACTTCTGTGTTTCCTGTAGTTTATCCTAAATCTACACAATTTGCTTCTGAACACTTAGATATTCAGCATCAAGCCAAGTGTGTATATAAGATTTAGTAATATATCCCAAAGTATCTTTTATCTTTTAAAAAGATAATCAGAGTAACCAGCTTTCCTCAGGGTGAGAAGAATAATAGAAATTGGAAATTATTGGGCCAAAATGTTTTTGAGTTACGAGGTGGCAAAACACATTAGTTCTTTTTTTCCAGAAGTCTCAAAACATGAATTTTCCGATTGCCACATTTTATGAATGCTTTCTTGAATGCCTCCAAACATCCCCAAATAAAATTCTCCTCTGGAATACCCTGATGACTCCCATACCGTCATTGTGGGAATCAATGGAGAAAGAACAAAGGACTCTTCAGTCCAAATGCACACGCCCCATGATATGAGCTAACAAAAATGTCATTATCTTTAGCTGCTCTGGAGCTCTTTTCATCTTGGCAGGCAGCCATCAGAAGCCAATAGGATCCTAGCTCGCAGGAGACCATGCTTTTAATCTGGTTGCTAACACAGCAAGATCAACTCATCGAGCTTCAACTTCTCCCTTTGCAAAATGAAGGTAAAATTATAGTTTAGTTTACCAGGGTCTTTTGAGATCTAACTAACCTACGTTTGTAAGGTGCCATGTATAATGTGTGTAAAGCATTATGACTCACTGGAATCACAGATGGGAATAGAATTCAAAGCCTCCTGTCCTGACTGTCTTCCTCCACCTCCAACTATCATTCCTCCTGGCTACCTGGCCTACTGACTGAAAAATGATGATCCTTCATCATAGTTTTTTGGAAAGATAAAGTCAGCTTGTACAGCTACAAATCTTAGGAACTCTGCAAGGTACTTATCCTCCACATAACTCATATTATGTTTCCACAGGGGTCATGGGTACTTCAGCATTGTGGCTGTGCAGTGTAGGAAACACGTATGACACTGATGTCATATTTAAGAAGCACCTAAAGCTAGCATGCTAGCCAGCACGCATTACATAGATCAATGCAGAACTCAAAACAGATGATGAAAAGGCTTTTAATAACATATTAAATCTGCAACCGAAATCTATAAAGACTAGTGAAAGGCACCAGTACTCAGCTAGGGCAACATATTAATCTCATATTTGGGATTTCTAGACCAAGCCTTTTCTGAGTTACATTGGTCTGAAAGAGTCAGGAATGTATCATTTTTAGGATGCCCACAGCTCTATCTCCCAGAAACTTTATCTAAATTATCTCAAGCTTTATACCCTGGCATAAATTCAAGCCTGAAAAAATTCCAAATCCAGACAGGAAATTCACCAAAGTTTGGGTCATTTTGATCTGGGGGTTTGATTCAGGGCCATTTCTAGTTACTCCCAAAATGAAAAGGATATACATCCACAAAAACACGACCCCCCTCTGAAATGACTGCTCTGTGTCAAACTCACACTTATGTAGGTCAGTTGAGAGGACAACGTTCACTTTTGCTTTCAGATTTATGTGGAGTATTATATCATTCCAACTGTGAAATAAATTCTGGGCAATCAGTAAGTAATTAAAACAGCACTAACGGGTGGAACCTAATAGTGAGTACAAAGCACAGCTACAACTCTAATAACCATAATTTGAACTCAAAAATATAATCTGGATGAAAAACTGGTTGAAAAACCCTACTCAGATATCAATGGTTCACTGTCAAACTGGGGGACTTAACTAGTGGGGTCCCACACCGGTCAATCCTGGGTTCAGCACTACTCATTATTTTCATGAATGACTCAGATAATGAAGTGGAGAGTATTCTTATAAAATTTGTGGATGACACCACACTCTACTTCCACGTACTGAAAAAAATCTTCTTAGGCTTTTCTTTTGGGAGTCTGATTTTATATTCTCCTTCCAGCTAGCCATTTTAATGATACCATATGGGCAAAATGGGATGTGAGAAGGAGGAAACAGAAAGCAACACGAGCCATCTATTCCATCGCCTTCACTCCAGCATTGCTTATCTCTTACCTTAAGCTGAACTCTCTCAGCTCCAACATGTGCAGAATGCCACTGCCCCGCTGCTAATTAGTATGTAATTTTATAACTATGCTTCTTCTTAGCTCTATACAATTAAGCCTCAGTTTGATTCTGAATCATTTTGCCAGACAGTTTATGGTCCCAATCCTACAATTCATAGCACACAGGCGCAGCAGTGCAGCTCTGCAAAGACGGATTGGCTTCAGTGGGGTTCATGTGGGTACAAAAATGATTAGGGGACTGGAACACATGACTTTTGAGGAGCGGCTGAGGGAACTGGGATTGTTTAGTCTGCGGAAGAGAAGAATGAGGGGGGATTTGATAGCTGCTTTCAACTACCTGAAAGGGGGTTCCAAAGAGGATGGTTCTAGACTGTTCTCAGTAGCTGATGACAGAACAAGGAGTAATGGTCTCAAGTTGCAGTGGGGGAGGTTTAGGTTGGATATTAGGAAAAACTTTTTCACTAGGAGGGTGGTGAAACACTGGAATGGGTTACCTAGGGAGGTGGTGGAATCTCCTTCCTTAGAAGTTTTTAAGGTCAGGCTTGACAAAGCCCTGGCTGGGATGATTTAATTGGGGATCGGTCCTGCTTTGAGCAGGGGGTTGGACTAGGTGACCTCCTGAGGTCCCTTCCAATCCTGATATTCTATGATTCTATGAGCAGAGCCACAGGGCACAGTGAATTGCAGGACCAGGGCACCATAAATCAAGGTAGATGTGGGAACATTGTTAGTGTCACTATACTGTTATAATCCTTTAGAAATTAATGCTGTATGATTATATACTTACCATCTATGGCCAGTTTGAGATCAGTCAGTGTAGTTCGAACTCTTGATATAACACGCTGCATACGGTCAATTTCCTGACGTAGAAATATATTTAAGGGTTGAATTTCTCCCATCTTTTGAAGCTGGGCTTTCACCTAAACAGAGTTTTGGGGAAAAAAAACATATCTATTATTATGTAGATATACAAATATGGTAACACTTTTAAAAGCACAAAGGTACTTTTTAAAATTTTACCCACAAACCCTAAAAACCAAACTACACAGTAATGGATGGCCAATGGTCATCCTGCACCAGCTTTATGGTCTAGTATGTTGTGACTCTTCAGGCCTAGTAAAAAGGAGCTTCATCCCATTGGAGGGGAGATTGCCAGCTTTTGGAAGGGAAACTTTAGCCTTTACTTCTCCAGTAGAAGCTCAGAGTTACAAACACCAGAGTTACGAACTGACCGTTCAACCTCACACCTCATGTGGAACCGGAAGTACGCATTCAGGAATCAGCACAGACAAGAAAAAAGCAAACTCAGTACATTACTGTGTTAAATGTAAACTACTAAAAATATAAAGGGAAAGTTAACAAAAAGAAAAAGATTTGAGAAGTTATATAGAGTTAGAATTCTAATAAAATCAAACATCAGCCTAATACAGCGGGTGCTATTTTGCCAAGGCCAAAAGTCCATTAAATGTTAATTTGTGCTTTTCTTGAAAGACACCAAGGTTTTGTAGACACCGGGAAGTTAATGCAGAGTAAGCTAGATGAATTTAAAGCACACTAGTTTTAGCACACTGAGGGCTAGTCTACACTTAAAATGCTGCAGGTGCGCTGCTGTAGTTCTTCAGTGAAAACACTATCTATGCTGATGGGAGGGCTTCTCCAGTTGGTGTAGGTAATCCATCCACCCCCCACCCCCACCCCCCCTGAGAGGAGGTAGCGAAGTCTATGGAAACATTCTCCCATCGACCTAGCGCTGTCTACACTGGGGCTTAGGTTGGCTTAATTGCGTCATTCATGGGTATGGATTTTTCACACCCCTGAACAACTTAGTTAGATCAACCTAATTTCCTACTGTAGACCAGGCCTAACTCCACAAGTGGACATTCAAATGCCCCCAGACAGCTTAGCTTACTACACTTTAAAGGGTAATAAGTTAAAGAGCAAAAAGGCACACTTAGTGCACAGTATCCAAGTACACACGGAGTTAATGAGGAGTAGTGTTGTGATAACTGAGCCTATAAATAATGACAGGTTTCAGAGTAACAGCCGTGTTAGTCTGTATTCGCAAAAAGAAAAGGAGTACTTGTGGCACCTTAGAGACTAACCAATTTATTTGAGCATAAGCTTTCGTGAGCTACAGCTCACTTCATCGGATGCATACCGTGGAAAATACAGCATATGTTTTTATACACACAAACCATGAAAAAATGGGTGTTTATCACTACAAAAGTTTTTCTCTCCCGCCACCCCACTCTCCTGCTGGTAATAGCTTATCTAAAGTGATCACTCTCCTTACAATGTGTATGATAATCAAGGTGGGCCATTTCCAGCACAAATCCAGGTTTTCTCCCCACCCTCCTGTTGGTAATAGCTTATCTAAAGTGTTAAACCCTGGATTTGTGCTGGAAATGGCCCACCTTGATTATCATACACATTGTAAGGAGAGTGATCACTTTAGATAAGCTATTACCAACAGGAGAGTGGGTTTGTTGGGGAGGGTGGGGTGAAAACCTGGATTTGTGCTGGAAATGGCCCACCTTGATTATCATACACATTGTAAGGAGAGTGATCACTTTAGATAAGCTATTACTAGCAGGAGAGTGGGGCGGGGGGAGAGAAAACCTTTTGTAGTGATAAACACCCATTTTTTCATGGTTTGTGTGTATAAAAACATATTCTGTATTTTCCACAGTATGCATCCGATGAAGTGAGCTGTAGCTCACGAAAGCTTATGCTCAAATAAATTGGTTAGTCTCTAAGGTGCCATAAGTACTCCTTTTCTTTGAGCCTATAAATTTACCCTAATTGTAAGCTTAATTGTGAAAAGTATATGAAAGCTCATAAAATGTTACAATAACCTAAAATAACAATTGTTACTAGAAAGTCAGTGAAGTTGCTTTCAATAATGAATGTTATAAAAAGGTGCAAAAGACTCAGACAGACTAAATTAGTCCAAACAAAAAGGCCATGTCTTTTTGGGTCCTTAAAGAGAAAGACTTTGGAGGAAAGGAAAAAAATAGTAAAGAACAGATGTAGGCTGCTGCAGCGAGCTTCATCATCATGGCATCCACCCACATCATTTCCTGGGACTCTGGGCCTTCTTTATCCTAATCCTGAGCGATGCCCAGACCAGACTGGGCTGGAGAGAAAGTTCTAGATGACAATGCCACCCCTTCTAGTGCCAGCTGAATCCCAAACGCCGAAATTAAATGGGATCAGACTTTAACAATTGCAGCAAAACTCCAACTCATCTCAGTTAACTTCTCTTTTTACCCAAAAGGACAGTTATTACCATCTTTAACACCATCTAAAAGATTGTCATACACAAATGTTTTTCCTTCTAAAACTCTCTCCAGCTACAGTGAAAGGGAAGAAGATATGTTGTTAAAATAAAAGTCTTATTTTATGTTTATCTTACTTTATATTTCAAATGCTTTATCTGTTTTTCCTTCTTTTCTGCATTTTTAATAAAAGGTTAAAAGAAAGTTTAATGGTGTGTTTGCCATGGTACTAAGCAGGCTGAGGTCTCTGTATACCAAACCCCAAACCTTGTTTAACATTGTTCAATGTTGGACAATGAGACTGGGTTATGTTAACATCTTTGGCTCATTTATTCTATTTAAATTAATATAACAGTAGCTAGTTCACTTGAAATTCACACCCTAGGTTTCTCCGTACTAGTTTCTCCATGTAGACAAACCCGAAGGGTGAATGCTATTGTAACAACATAATGTTATATCTAGCACCATTCCTCTTTAAAAAGGAAGAAAAGCGTAGCACTTGAAAGGTGATACTTGATAGGACAAGAGAGTAAATGCTTTGACCGTCTCCATTTCTCAGGTTTCATCTTCAGGCCTTTGAAAATACCCTTTTAAACTTTACATGGTTTTCTCCTTGGGGGACAACCACCAGGGAGGTTATTCATTATATTTTAATCATATGCATATATGATTTTACAGAAAGGCTGTCCATGGAGTAGGTGCCAACAGATTACACTAATGCTTTCAAGTTTGACAGCTCATTCTACCGAACGAGTCAATATGCTTTTCTTTCTTTCTAAACCACTAAAAGTAGCTACTACTAGAGCATTTAAAATTAGAGCCGGGAGAATAGTTTCCTGTGGACAATTTATTTGGTGAATAATGCCCTCTTTTCTGTTCACAAATGATTTGCAAAGAGAGCCTTTGATTTTTAAGACTTTCACAGGAAATCCACTCCTTTTGCCCAAACAGCCAAAAGAACAACTATCAGAGGGGTAGCTGTGCCAGTCTGTATCCACAAAAACAACAAGGAGGCTGGTGGCACCATAAAGACTAACAGATTTATTTGGGCATAAGCTTTCGTGGGTAAAAAACCCACTTCTTCAGATGCAAGTGAGAGGAAGTGGGGTTTTTTACTCAAAACCCATGAAAGCTTATGCCCAAATAAATTTGTTAGTCTTTAAGGTGCCAGAAGAACAACTGTTTGCTCCACTCAGTGTTTTGTCTCAGTATCCCTGTGATAAATGAAACAGGGTAGGCTCCCTGTTATGGACACACAGCCAGCCAGTTAGCTATAAAATCCCTCTTAGGCCTGGTCTACACTACGAGTTTATGTCGGATTTAGCAGCGTTAAATTGAATTACCCCTGCTCCTGTCCACACAATGAAGCCATTTTTTTCGACATAAAGGGCTCTTAAAACCGATTTCTGTACTCTTTCCCAATTAGGGGATTAGCACTGAAATCAACATCGTTTCGAATTAGGGTTAGCGTGGACGCAATTTGAAGGTATTGACCTCCAGGAGCTATCCCACAGTGCACCATTGTGACCACTCTGGACAGTACTCTGAACTCGGCTGCACTGGCCAGGTGTACAGGAAAAGCCCCGGGAACTTTTTGAATCTCATTTCCTGTTTGGCCAGGCGAACTCATCAGCACAGGCGACCATGCAGTCCCAGAATCAAAAAAGAGCTCCAGCATGGACCGAACGGGAGGTACTGGATCTGATCGCTGTATGGGGAGAGGAATCGTGCTATCAGAACTACGTTCCAAAAGACGAAATGCCAAAACATTTCAAAAAATCTCCGAGGCCATGAGGGACAGAGGCTACAGCAGGGACGCAACACAGTGCCGCAAGAAACTTATGGAGCTCAGACAAGCGTACCAGAAAACCAAAGAATCAAATGGACGCTCCGGGACAGAGCCCCAGACATGCCGCGTCTATGCTGAACTGCATGCAATTCTAGGGGGGGCTGCCACCACTACGCCAGCCCTGTCCGTGGACTCCAATGATGGGGTACTTTCTGCCATGCCTGAGGATTTTGCAGACAGGGAAGAGGAGGAGGAGGAGGACGAGCTTGAGGAGAGCACACAGCACACCATTCTCCCCGACAGCCAGGATCTTTTTATCACCCTGACTGAAATACCCTCCCAACCCAACGAAGCTGGAGAAGGGACCTCTGGTGAGTGTACCTTTTAAAATATAATACATGTTATAAAAGCAAGTGTTTTTTAATGATTAAGTAGCCTTGAGGACTTGGGATGCATTCATGGCCAGTACAGCTACTGGAAAAGTCTTTTAACGTGTCTGGGGATGGAGCGGAAATCCTCCAGGGACATCTCCATGAAGCTCTCCTGGAAGTACTCTAAAAGCCTTTGCAGAAGGTTTCAGGGGAGAGCAGCCTTATTCCGTCTTCCATGGTAGGACACTTTACCACGCCATGCTAGTAGCAAGTAATCTGGTATCATTGAATGACAAAGCCTGGCAGCATATGGTCCTGGTGTTTGCTGGCATTCAAGCAACATCCATTCTTTATCTCTCTGTGTTATCCTCAGGAGAGTGATATTGTTCATGGTAACCTGGTTGAAATAGGGGAATTTAATTAAGGGGACATTCAGAGGTGGCTGAAAAGAAATCCTCCCAGCAGTTAGCCATGCGGTGGGG